CTTCCTCTTGTCCCTCCTGTCCAGTAGAACTGTGTCCAACGTAGATGATCCGTCCAGCATTCTCAACACCCTTTTTCTGTCCACTACATGTGACTAGTCTAGGAGGGCCGTTTGACAGGCCACTGAGAAAATGTAAACTCCCTGGGCTGAGAAATTCCAGAAATGTTATTCGGAAGGCACCTATGCTGGCTGCATCCCCTGGGACCTTCTTCTTCCTGCCTGGGAAGTGGAAAAGCCATCAAGAAATTAGAATGAAATGTCACATTATGGAATATGGAACCAAGCCACGAAAAGAGGTAACTGAGCTGCTTTTAGTCCATAGTGGCCCTGGACTGCCCACTTTCAGATTTCTTATTGTTAGAGATAAATGCACCTTTTGTGTTAGGCTTAGTATTACTGATACACAAGTGCTTAAGTCTTAACTGCTAGGTAATATTCTCTAGCTGAGATGTTTTCGTATCTTTGTGTGTCCACCACATTTTGGTATTCATGTGAAATTCTTCTGTTTGTTCAACTATATTGTTCATTAGACTATAAGCCCTTGGTGCACAAGGACCCTTATTCATGACTATTCTTCTCCAGGGATCCTAGAATGAAGCCTCAGTATAACAAGAGCTGAGTAAAAGTTTTCAGAATTGGATTGAACTGAGTTGAGTTGAACTTAATTGAATTGCTGTGAATTGAACAGAACTGAATTGAATAGTACTCAATTTTCCCAGTCAGTTAATGGAAAAAGTAATCGACTAGCACCTGTTCTTCAGTCCTCCTTAATTAATGCTCTTCATTTGCTCCAGTGATGTGCTGTGGCACAAAACTCAAGCCTGGAGAAGAACTCATTCTCCCTCTGTGCAGCACAGAACAGGGATAGTTATTTTGTCTGCCCTACATCCATTTTCTTAGCATCTATGAATCTTCCTTCTTAGTATATTGATTTTCCTCTTGGGGAATCCCTTCTCCCCATGTGATCCAGGCCTTGCCATTCTGTATATCTCAATTATTTGGCCATGGTGATTGGCTCAGGTTTGGATATATGTCCTGAGATAGGCCAGGGACATAATTCTGGGATTTTGTCGGCTAGATGGTAATGAGAATGACTTTTATACTGATACTAATAATGTTAAAGGCAATATAAACCTGGAACTTCCAGGCATCCCAGTGTGGATGTCATGGGTTTGTGAATGAAGCCAAAACCAAGAGATTGGAGGGAGCTGAGGAGAGACTAAGTCCCATGAGTGGTTGTAGTTAAGTTTTTGGATCTAGAACATGATCCGTGAAATCAGACTGGGCGAAGTTACTTAACCCCTCTGTTTCCTCACATAGGAAAAGAAGATAATAATAATACTTTAATTTAATCCTCAAAATGAGGATTAAATGAGATAGCACATGTAAAGAGCTTACAACAGTGCCTGACACACAGTGTGTGATCAATAACTGTTAGCTGTTATTAATGTGGATATTTTAATTTTTGTCATTAGAGTTTTTTGCTTAAGCTGGTTTGAGTTGGGTTTCTATCACTTGCAACAGAAGGGTCTTGTCTAATACAATTAATATAAAGCATGAAGCCCCAGAGTGTACAGGTTTATGGCAGGCCAAATTCCCTTCTGTGGGCTGAGGCAGAGAAAGGGCATTGAATCAACTGAATGTAGACCATCTGGCTCTCCTTACTTGATGTCTATCAGTAATTCTACCTGAGGTCTATAGGCCCTCAACTTCTAGTGAATTTCCTCATCACCATCCTATTTATAGTCAAGAAAATTCTCCTTCTTCTATGTTGGCAATTAATAATGTCTCTGATATGATTTATTTTTAAAAACATATTAAGGTACAAAAAGTAGGGAATCAAACATATGAGAGATAAAATGAAAATATTTCTATAATTAAAATATAATCAGAAATTCATTGTTTTTTATCTCTTAAACTTTAAGCTGAATTTTTTTTCATACTAATTTAGAGTAAATAATATTGTAACTAAGCAGCATACATGCTAAATAGCATACTTTTCTTGGTGTAGATTTCTGGAGGGATATGCAGGGGATTTGCATGCTTAATTCCCATTAGCACCTGTCACTGGGATTTATTATCCCAGAGTTAATTCTCCACTCACTGCAGCCAAGGAAAAGGAAACTCTTGTACATGGATTTAAATGAAGCTTTTATTTTTCAAAATGAGATAATTTTATGTCTACTCCTTAAACATCTGCAGTATTCCAATCCTGAAAAAGTCATATTCAAATTCATTTTTAGTGAAAATTTGCCCAAATCTGATTTTATTCAACAACTAGAAAACCCTATTCGTAAGTTGAAAATTTGTCTCAGTGGAAAAAAGAAGTTTTAATCAAGGACTCAACTCAGTTTTAAGAACTATTGGTTCTCATTCATCCATTCAATATTGAAGAAATGTTTATTGGCCACCTATTATGTGCCAGAAACTTTTCTAGGTTCTGGGTATAGACCAGTGAAAGTACTAAGAAAAAAATCCCTCCCCTTGTAAAGCATACATTCTATTGGAGCACATACCATATACACATACAGCTGTGTATTCTTAAACATAGACATGTATGTGTTCTTATAAGTGCTATATGGAAAATCAAAGCAAGTAAGTGCAATTGAAAGTGATGTGGTGGGTGCTATTTTAGGTAAATTGGTCAAAGAAGATCTCTTTAAGCAGTCACATTTGAGCCCAGGTCTAAGTGAAGTAAGTTAGCAGTTCTATGCTCAGAAGTCTATGCAACACTGCATTATCTCTTCCATGAAGAAAAAACTAGACAGGATGTTGATATACAAGGCAAGTTCCACCTGCAATAATAGATTGTAGGAAAGTCACTTGCTTAGTAAATCTGATCAGTTTGCTACTTTTCCTGTACTTGTTCTTGTGCACTCTTCCCTCCCTTTTCCACTCCGTTTCTCTACATACCATTTCTCAAACCATTCTCCTGCTCTCTTTGGGCTGAATTTCAATATTAAACTACTTTTCCCCTTCTTGTCTCTTACTTGTTCTTTCAAAGAATTAATTTTATGCAGTGTCTATCATTGGGCACTTCAATCATCCAAACTGAATTAAGTGACAATTTAATTATATTTAACTAACTAGACTTTGAGGATTCTTCCCTATTGAGCCTTTTTGGCAATCAATCAACCAGTACTAACTGATGGAGTGCCAACTATATATTGGGCTCTGTGCTAGGAGCTGGGGATGAAATGATAAACAAGGCAAAGCCTCTGCCTTAAAAAGAGTTAAATTCTAGTTAGAGAAGATAGGCAGTAAAATTGCAAATGAATAAACAAGTAACTTGTAAATGTTGTTAATATAGTACGTATATGTGAAGTTTCTTTCTTAGTATTTAAGCTGCTGTCTTTCTTGGAAAAATTGTGAAGACAAATATAAAATATAATCATAAGCCTTCTGGTGATGTCACCCTCAAAATAAATGACAGGTTATGAGTTGTCTAGCTGTACTGTCCAATGTGGTAGCCCCTAACCATATGACAATTAAAATTTAAACATTACATAAATATTCCCAATTTAAACTAGTCACATGTAAGTGCTCAATTTCCCATGTGTCTAATGACTACCATTTTGGAGAACATGGATACAAACATGTTTCTCACTGTGGAATGTTCTGTTGGACAGCACTGGTCTAGCTGTCATGCATCTGAGAGGAATCTTTTATAAATGGTAAGAATAGCAGCTAACAATTTCATGTTTCAGTTACTTTACATATGTCGAACTCATTTATTTTTGACAAAATCCCAAAGATAGTAACTGCAACTAGGGCCATCTTACAGATTAAGAAACTGAGCCATCGAGCTTTATTTTTTTGCTGAGTCAGCTACTATTAAGAAATGCTAAGAATTAAACCCAGTCTGACACAGGAACTTCTTAACTTCTGACCAAAATATGGGGAAGCTGAAGAGGATGAAGAAGTGATTTTAGTATGGCAGCCTGTGCCTCCACAGAAATAAATGGCTAGATTTGTCAATGTCTTTGCCAACAATGACCTTTTCAGTTCTACCAGTCTCATCCAAGACAAGTCTTATTGGCTAGAGGTTTAGATGGAGCTTGGCAGGCATAATCATGGAACTTTGAAACCATCTAATAAAATATTTCACAGATGAAGTAACTGAGACATGCAGTTTACCTGATCTGTCAAGGAAAACAGAATGACTTAGGACCACAGCCAAGATCAGACCACAAGCTTCCTGCCTGTGTGTGTGTTTATACCTTACCCTGTTGGCACCAAGAGCTTAAAATTTCCCTGATATATTATTTATTATTATTTTAGAAATGTACTAATCTTGGGAAGTGCTTTCCTTCTAGCCAGGTCAGTGTGCCAGTGTGTACTGAACTTTTAATCCATCCACTTTCCTTTTGTCCAGCCTCTCCTAATTTTATCCACCCATTCTTACATTCTCCCTTCATCATTACAACAGGATCCACAACCCAGCTACACAGACAATTCTTTCCTGAAGAAAAATAAAAATAAGAATTCATAGCAGTTTCAGTCCTTACACCGTTAGGAATCTGGAAAACATGTCATAGGTTCCACCATCACTTTACGTGAGTATCTGTAAGTTTTGTTGTGCATTGTTTCTGGGAGTTTCTCCTGGTGTCATCTTACCACCCTTTACATACTCAGCCTTGCCAGCCACCAAAGATGCACGCAAATAAAGGTATGTTGAAGAGTTTTCCTTCAGCTTTTAGTCTCTGTTCCACTAGAGAGGTCACAGGCGCCCAGAGCATAAAGCAGTCTTAGTGGTGCTGACAACCCCAAGACTGCAGCGGGTTGGGACACTGCAAAAGATTTATGCCCTTTTTCTTGCCACGCAGGACTTCGGCTCAAGACCGAACCCGGCTTAATCAATCGCAAGACCCGAAGTCGTAGAGCGAGTCTAGTCCAGGGGAGTCTGGCTCAGGCTCTGGCGGCGCCGTGGCGAAGCTGGCAGGCAGCAGGCTGAGCTCCGCCGGACATAGCCAAGTGGCTCGGGGCGCTCCCGCTGCGCTCTCTGAGTCCAGGTCTGGAGCACCGCGGGAGGCAGGCGCGTTCGCACTGTCTGAATCCATCTCTTCTCGGGTCTCTTTCGCCTCAGCTTCCGCGGATAAACCAGCAGCCGCTCTCCACCTCCGGCTCTGGGCACGCTGCTCCCGCCAATCCTTGCTTACATAACGCCGGCGAGCGCGCTCCCGCCGCCTCACCCCCCAGCGGAGTTGGGTTGGGCTCTCCGCGCCTCCTCGACGAGCGCCTCCGCGCGCCCTTGTGCCCCGCACTAGGAGGTGACACTCCTTGGCCACCCAGCAGCGGCAGCAGCCGGGACGCCTCTCCGCCCGCTTGAGAACACAGATTGGAGACGAAGGCTCTTCACTGTGCACAACTCCCTCCCCTCCGCCTCCCTCCTCCTCCCGCTGTCTCTTCCTCTCCCTCCGCCCCCCCCCCGCCCTCCTTTACCCCCTCAACCCCCCCCAATCCCGGTGCCTGTGTGTGTTCCGCACAGGCGAGGGGACCAGAAGAGCAGTCCAGGCTCGGCGCACGGCGGAGCTGCGGCTGCTCCTGCTGCTGGGAGAGCGGCGAGGTGTCCGCCTTGCGCCTCCCCGGACTTCCCAAGTGGGGGCAGAGCAGCCGCTCACGGAGCCGCCAGTTAGAAGGCATAGGGAAAGAGGAACCTCCAAACTCCTCCTCAGCGTCTCCTCTCCACCCTCGTTTGGCCCCTGCCCTTGGAGAAAGTGGAGTGTCGCGCTCGGTCATCATTATTTCTTCAGTTTCGCGGTGCACGATTCAACTGCTGCCCGGTGGGGCTTTCCGCTGTTGGCGCGCCTCTGTGTGTAGTTGCCCCCGACACACCTCTGTCGACGATGAGGAAAGGTCTGCGGGCGACAGCGGCCCGTTGCGGACTCGGACTGGGGTACGTGCTGCAAATGCTCGTGCTACCTGCCCTGGCCCTGCTCAGCGCCAGCGGCACCGGCTCGGCGGCTCAAGGTAAGGGGGTCCGCCAAGCTCCGCGGCCACCTCCCTTCGCTTCTTCCTTCCTTCTTGCTTCCTCTCCTCTTCCCCGGTTCTCCTGGCTTCCTTAACCCGCCTCGTTTCTCTTAACTGGAAACCACTTTAAATTCTACTTCCCCAACTAGTCGCGAAGCTTTGGTTATTATTAGTTTAAATCTATCTTCCGAGATGGGCACGGATGGGCCAGAGACGCACGGGGTGTGGACACAAGCCTGCCTCTGGGCATGGGGGCTCCTTGGGTGTCTTTTGCACTTTCTGCTCCACACGCACACGTTGTTGCATGTTGTGCACACTGAGGTTTGGAGAGACTCTGGGTGCGGGTAGCTGTGTGGCACGCCGTAGATGCACCCTGATGCGCAGAGGCTCCCCACGCTGTGCCGCCTCTAGGATTGAGGGATCTACGGTGAGTCTCTGAGCACGTCAGATGCCGAAGGGCGCCGAGCTAAGGATATGTGTCCATTACAGCCGGGGACCCACAATCGCAGGTGCCCCTCGGCAGCTGCCCGGGGCGCTGTGGAGATGCACCGCGCACCCGGATCCGCGGACCCAGCCCGCGGCAGGCCCCGGTTGTGCACGCCTCCTCACTCTTAGCCTCTCCGCGTCTCCCTCCCAGCAGGGGACGGAGAAACTTAAAACCCCGGAGCTCTGAGGAAACGGACTGGTCGTTCAAACCAAATCCGAAACTCCCCGGGGTAATCAGCCACTTTATAACTCTGACATTTTAATTTAATGCGTCTGAGCCTTAAAAATAAGTGCTCTGGGCAAAACCGGGAAAGGCCTAAGCTTGGCCAGGAGTTGAGGGTAGGAGGGGAGGAGGGGAAGCGTGGGGGCCTAATTGCCTAGCTTCCTTCTTACTCCTCGAGTTTGAGGTGATAGAAGCAGATCCTAGCCTTCTGAGCTCGGGAAGCTGGGTGGAAGGGAGATGGAGAGGAGGGAGCCCTCCTCCTAGGTCTTTCTCGGGTCATCTGCGTCCCCAACCTTACGGCCAAGCTGAGTGCCCACCTGAGTCTTGCCCAGTTCGGTTGGTTCAGGGGAGACAGCTCAGCTTTTCCCTGGAATGGGGGTGTTGTGGGGTGGGGTGGGGTGGCGGAAGCTTCTGCAGCGTTCGGAGGAGGTAATCCAGGCATCCCATCATCTCGGTTACACTCTTCACAAATTTGGAAGACAGAATAGATGGGGCGATAGCCTCAACTCCCCGAGAGATTCTCAGACACTCGAGGTTACCGACTGCGTTCCGTCTGATGAGCGAAGGCGCTGGGGGCGAGGGCGTTGTAGGTGGAGGGGAGCGCTGAGCGTAGGCGAGTGTGGTCCGGGTGGGGAGGTAAGTGATTAGCGAGGCTTTGTGAATTAGCCATAGCTACTTTGGGAGTAAATTTTCCTGCTGCCTCGCTAAGTAGCCACGCTCATAAATCCTTCTTGCCAGATGCCTCCCATCCCCGAGGTTCTGCCCTGTTTTTCTTATTCATATTCCAGAGCTCATCTGCCTGTCCATTTTACAAAGGAATCTTCATTGAGAATTATAAACTTCTTGTACGTTTCTTGAAATTGGAAGAAATTCTCAGGGCGGCAGCTGAGGGTGCTTAAAGGGGATGTTTGGAAGTTTAAGTGAGCAACCTGATGAATAGTTGTGGAATCAACCGCGTGACTCCCTGTGGAATTCGCCTGCCTGCTGTTATTGGGCGCACAAAGGACTAAACTATAGGGTAGGGGTGGGTATGGGAGGGAGAACAGGCGGTGAGAGAACTGTTTGGGAAAAGGACAAGTTAAAGTCCCCAAAGATGCCCAACTGGAGATACAGGATCCCTGCTGAGAGCTTACTACAGCCAAATTAAAAAGACTGGGTAGGAAAAAGATCAATAAAGATAATCAGACAGGAGATTGTAAGTGGATTAATATTGAAAGAAGAAGGGAGGAGAGATTAAAAGAAAAGACGCTCATGATAGACTGAGTGTTTGCCACTTACACTTTTTTTCATTTTATAGATCAGGCAAGCCAAAGACTGAGGATTGAACCTACTCTTCTGATCTTAAGTGGAAAAATAAAATGTATTCTTCTGGGTGTGTGCATTTCAGTGCTGTTCTGCTTCACTTAGTTTATTTAGTTCTTTAAGTTCCTGGTGAACAAACTGTTTATGTTTGAATTTTGTGGTCTTTGAGAGACACTGTTCCACCACTTCTATCTTTGTTTTCCTCCATGTTCAGGATACCAGCTATTCCTGTCTTGCCTTTAGGTATCATAAACGTGGAAAGCACCAAACTCTGCTTTCAGCTACCATCACCATCACCCTAATTCATTCTAATCCAGCCTGTTTGCTATTGAACCACTCATTCTTAGACTCACCCTCGTATATAATGAATGGTCCAATAGTCAGACCTCCCTTTCCTTCTCATTTCTTCTCCTTTTCCCTCTCTCTTTGGACTAGATCACTAGAGAAATAAAAGACACTGTTCCCTCAAGGTATGATTTCCTTGTGCTGAGGACTTAAAATGGGAATAAAGTATGTTTTTTAATGGATGGAAGAGTGTATGCAATTAAGATGAGAAAGTTAATTTAAGCACTTTACAATGAGGATAAGGTTTTTATTCTGTTGTTAGAGAAATACTAGGGGAAAAAAGGAAGTTTCAGGAAATATGTGCCTCTTCAGAGATAGCCAAGAAAATAACAGATGCTTAAGATAAAAAAGCAGAATGAGTGTTACTTGTGAGTGTACTTCGTTTTGTGACTGTGGTTTGAAGAAAGACAGCAGTCATTTTGAACAGGTCCTTGGGAGATTCTCTAGGCTTTAGGCAACTTTTTCCTTTCTGGCGATGCCCTAATTGTTTCTTCCAGGATTGCTGGGAACTTCTAGCTCTAGGGAATTTGTTGTGTTTCTGACTTTCAAGAATGAAAGATTTTACTAGGAAAAGGCAGTGTGTGTGTGTGTGTGTGTGTGTGTTTGATCTGTTTGCCTCAGAATTAGTGGCCTCCTGTTTTATAAATGCACTTTATTTGTGGATTGCACAGCATTGATATCCTACTTATCTAGCACCAACTAGTGTTACGAGTGTTAACACCACCAAACTCAGAATGGAAAATTTCTGAAGACACTAATTATATTGGAATAATTCTTTAAGGTATCAAAAATGCGGAAAGCACTAAACTTGATACAAGATAACTTGTAATGTTTTTAGATCAATGTAATTCTGAGAGAAGACTAAAAATTACTTTCATGCATTTATGCATATTGGTGTGGCACAAACAGTTGGTATGAAAGATAACTGAATTTCTTTATAAGTATACCGTATATTTTTTTCTATTTTAGGAGCAGAGTAAATTCATAAATTCACTTTTGGAATTTGCAATAAGGAAAAGTAGGCTAGTTTACCTTTGTTTCGAGCAATAGTTTCATGTATTCTAGCTTAGCAAATACTTAAAAGGCTTCAGGGAGCAAACTTTCCAAGTACTTATAAAGAATGAGGAACCATTAAATTGTTAATATTTATGGACTCTCTGGCCTTTTGTGTTCTGGATACTGGGGACTCTAAGTTCAGCAAGACAGGGTCCTAGAGCATCTCCCACTGTAATCTGGGAACTGGTTATCCTGATAAGAATTCATACTAAGCCTTTTTAAGCAACCCCCCTAGGGAGATGAAGGAGGCATGAGCTCTCCTAGGTGAACTTTCTTAGCTTATTTAGAATTATTGTTAAGACTTAAAAATAGCTGTTCTCTAATGTATGCTAGGTTCTCCAATTAATGCAAACAGCCAGAGTGCCTTAACTGCATTTAGCACTTTTCTGATTTAGGTCATGGCTTTGCTGGAGCAGCAGAGGGAGTCACTCTCAGAAGCATTAAAATTACAGGCTGCATCCACTTCAGAAAGATAATGGGGAAGCATGTGGGGTTGGGGATAGAGCCAGTGCTCTTGCCTTGCTCTTTCAGCTTCCTTCCTTTTTAGTTTGACGTTTGTTTGTTTGTTTGTTTGTTTGTGTCAGTTAAGAAGAAACCTGTTCACATCCCCACAAATTAGAAACCTGTTAGCTCATTTAGATAGTGTATGGTATTAGAAGCAAGGTTCTGAACAATTATTGGGCACTTATTATGTCCCCCACTGTGTGCTTATGGATATAGAGTAGACAGCTTCATCTCTCAAGGAAGACAGATTTAGAAGCATAGAATTATAATTTACTTTCTGAAATATACAACAGTGGACATAGGTATAGTACCTTCTGGATTTAAGCATTCAAAGGTAGTAAACATAGGACAGGCTTGGGTCCATGTGTGAGTGGTGGCAGGGGGTCCCGTGATGTCTGCACAGAGAATCTTAAGGGTGGCAGTTTGGTTAGAAGTGGGATCTTCTTAAAGCTAAGTTTGCATTGCAAATGTCTTAGATCTTACTTATATTTAACCTATAATTGGTCTGGCTTTGGGGAGGTACAAGTTAGAGGCTGTTAGTAGTGTGTACCCATTTTGCCTGTTAGTCTAGTGGTTACCACTGCCTCTTAATGCTGCCTCTACCACCTCCTAGCTGTGTGGCCATGGGTGCAATATTTAGCATCTCTGTGCCTCAGTTTCCTCAGATGTAAAATGAGGTTAAGATGTACTATAAGAAGTCATATTAGGACTGAATGAATGAATACATCTAACGTATTTAGAGCAATATTATTTGGCTTCCAACACTAAACCACTGGCAAAGAAATCTAAAAGTTGAAGAAATTAAAGGTCAGTAATAAACTCAGCATGGGGATTGCTGCAGACACTGCTTCCCCAAAAGCAACAAATGGAGCTGTCTGAGGAAATGCTCCAAAGTGTACCACTGCGGACTCCTAGACAGGGCGTGGTTCTTTGAACAGCCTGTGGGAAGCTCTCTCTCTTCATAGCCACATTTCTTCCTTTCTGCACTCTCTGGGAAAATTAACGTAGTAGCAGTCCAAAAATACCATGTTAAGTTACAGCCTGTTAAGTCCTGGCTACAAGTGCTACTTTTGTACTTGACTTT